TCTTTTTTTTTTTTCTTCTTCCTATAGGTCGGTTAGCTTCGAACCTTGAAGGATCCTACGTACGTGCGTGATCGACAACCACACGGTTATTGTCACGTTACGTTACGGGGGTAGCCCCCGGCGAAATCAGCGGGGTTATCCGATAGGTCGGATGGTGCCAGTGCGGCGTCCGAGAAACTACTGAACGAATGCTGGCGGTTCTCTTCTCCGACTCGGTTCGGGCACGCTCCTCGGTTCGCTCTCGTAGAGAGATCGACACACCAGCACACGGGCCGGCGGCAGCCGAGAGTGAAACCAATACCAGCGCGCCGGGGAATCGACTCGACTCGACTCGACTCGCTACTCACACGGGCCCGCAACCTCCATCCCATCCCGTCGTCCCCTGTTCTCGTACTCGTGCTCGTGCTCGTGCTCTTGCTCTTGCTCTTGCGTTCGTTCGTGAGTCCGTTTGACTTGTGCACCTACGTCCGTGAATCTGCTCGCGCCCGTAGTGGTAGCCGTCGTCCCGTTTCGTCCCGTTTCGTCTCGTCTCGTCCCGTTCCGCTTCGTACCGTGTCGTCCCGATTCCGTCCCATCCCAGAGCGACGCAGCACGCGACAGATCTGGATGCTCTGCTCGCTCTCCTCCGTCCACTACTCCTCGCCGCCGCGACCACGACCACCACGCGCCTCTTCTTCTCCCTCTCTTCTTTCGCGCTGCTCTTCCCCCCCCCCTCCCCCCTCCACCCTCGTTTTCTTCAGTGCCCTTCGCTCTCTCTCTCTCTCTCTCTCTCTCACTCGTTCTCTTCTTCTTTCTTCTCTTTCGCACTCTATCAACCTGGTTCCTATCTCTGTCTCTCTCTCTGTCTCTCTTTCTCTCTCTGTCTACCTACCTACGCCGCTCCTTTTCACCTTTTCTTCTTTACTTCTTTCCTTTTCTATTCTCCCGTTCAGAGAGGAACGAAGCGAGGCAAATGTCTGTCTTCTTTATTATATGTCGGCCAGTCGGCGCGCGCGTCTCTTTGGAATGGTCGTGAATGGGCACTCGGTGGCAGGGATAAAAGGCCCTCGGTCCGAAAACGAAGGAGGCCAACACCTGCGAAACTTCAAATATCCACGCCCTTTCGATGGGGTGGTGGGGGGCGGAGGGGAAGTGAGAAAAATCGTGTCGCCAAGATTGTGACGGTGTCGCAGAATAGTTTTTTTCCCCTCTCGTCACTCGTGTCTTTCTTTTTTTCTTTTTTTTTTTTTTTTTTTGCAAATCTCTTCGCCTCACGCCGGCAAACGCGCCACCGCCGCTGCATCGGCCACCGCGGCACGCATCTTTGGTTCTTCTCGTTTCCTTCGGCTCCGTCGTCTCCTTTTCATTCTCTCCGTGGACACGGGCGAAAGAGGCCCTATCGAGTCCGTCAGCCGCGCGTACCTGTAAACAGTAACAAGGTCGTCCCTTCAGTCTCTCTCTCAATGGGGGGGGGGGGGGGGGGGGGGGGAGAGGAGGAAAGAAACGTTTTCCGGCTTCCGCGCTACGCCACGCGCCCCTCCCGTTGCGAATAGAATCGCAAGGACACGACTGAAGGGGGGCTTCTAAGCATTCTTCGCTCTTTCCGAGAGAAAATCTCCTGCAGATTTTCCGGCCCTTTTTTTTCAACCTCGAGTTCGGAACGCTCGTCGTGTATAAAAATAGTCCGCCTTTGATATCTATTTCGGGGAATTATTTTTTTAGGTACATTTCAGAGTATTTCGTGGCAACAGAAGACGGTTTTTTTTTTTTTTTTGAAAATAACGAAAATTTAATTTCAATTTCTTTTTTTTTTTTACGAATCGATGAAAATTCGAGTTTTCTCCCCCACATTTTGAATATTCGATGGTTCTCCATTCTGCGGAGTAATTTTCAAGAAATGAAAAACGTCAAGTTACCGAGAATATCAGTAAAATTGAAAATTTTTCAAAGAAACGGCGAAAAAGATTTATTATTTTATTGTAATTTAACTCGATCTTGCAACAAGTACATTTAACTATACTGTCGTAATTAAACAGCGCTAACCCCAGCCTCGAAGAAACATTTTTCGTCCAACTATGCGATCGAGGTTCTACAGAATAGTCACCGAAAGACAAAAATAACCTTTACGGACACGTGTTCTCTCAATTTTTTTTTTATTATTTAAAAAAGAACAATAATAAAATCCTACGAGAAAAGAAAATAAAACAGATTGAAAATGAACAAGTCGTGACCCTTTGGTTTTCTTTTCAGAATTATGACTCGAGTAGTACTCGTAGCGAGAGAAAAAGGACGCGTACAGAAAAAAAAGAAAAAGAAAAAATAAACGAGGGAAAGGATCGCGCGTCGGGGTATGCGCCTTTTCCAGCGGGGCTTAATAGCGACTTTTTCGGGGAAAACTATCTCACGCCCGGTGGAGAACAGCTTCTACGGCGTGTACGAAGATAAAGGGGAGATATACCAAGGAGAATCGACTCGCGACATACCTTCGGCCATCGACATTTACGAGCCGCGTCAAATTTCCATGTCCAACATCTCCACTTGTTCTCTAAGATAGCCCAACATCTCTCTCTCTCTTTCTGCCTCTCTGGAACTTCTCAGAGTTTAAAGTCAACGAGGCAAACTCGAGAAATGTTTCCCTCTTTCGACTCGCCAGCGCCAGAGTATTGCCTGTCACCGAAACAACGAACAACTTTGTCGCCCGATCGTCCCGACAAAGTCCGAGTCCACTTAGCCGAGCATTTCCACCCTCCTCCGCGCCCCGCGAACGCGAAGAAGTAGAGTATTCCCGACGATTTTTTTTTCGGAAAAATGACGTGAAATGGACGAAATGGAACGAAGCGCTCGATAAACAAAAAAGTTTATCGCGCGTGCGAGGATTGGAAGGCGCCACATTCTTACGAACAATGGAACTACCACGAAACTATTTCTCTTCGACCAACACGGACAAAAAGGAAAATGTACCTAACTGCATACACCGTTTCTTCTCAGAGAAATATTCTTTTTTGTAAAAGATTTTTTTTTTTTGCACGCTTAAAATATTATTGCTAGCGCTGGTTGTTTTATCTTAATTAACCAACAGCGAGCGAATTTGTCCACCTTGTAAATGAGACAAAGATAACACTCCCGATTTTGATCAGGACATTCAGCAAAGCAAGAAGCAAAGGAGCATTACTTGCGAGAGAATTTACCCGCAGAGTATTGACCGGCGTAATAGAAAGAAACTGGAAGAAAGCTAATAACGTAATAATTCATCTGGCGTGTTAACACCGATTTTTCGCCGAGATCCCGGTTTCGTGTTCACCGAGTCATGAAATTCTACCACTTCGCCGATCGGTAGATCCCCGAATAGAATGCGAACGAGAGAGCCGCCTTTCCAATATACGCGTCCAAACCTAAAGATGGATTGCGTTAAACTTAATTAACCTCTCGCGCCGGGAATGACGTGCCACGCACGTCGACAATATTTTTTGGCCTAAAATTGCAATGTTTTCTCAGTTTTAAGTATATTGAAATATAAACCTAACCCAGGCAAACCAAATTATAAATTTATTGCTTCTTAGTAATTTCTGGCCTAGTGACGTGCCGACAAATTCAAAAAAGAAAACGAATTCGTACGGTTTGGTCACTCGTTATGGTCCGCAATCAGTTGCCGGCGCAAGTGGTTAACCTCTTTGCCACGTCGAGGACTTTTTTGTCCCAAATTGCAACATTTTCGCAGTTTTAAGTATATTGAAATGTAACCCAGGCAAAACAAATTATAAATTTATTATTTATAATTTGTAAATTTACAATTGACAATTTATAAATTTATTTATTATTCTTAGTAATTTCTAGCCAGTGACATACCGACAAATTCAAAAAAGAAAACGAATTCGTACGGTTTGGTCACTCGTTATGGTCCGCAATCAGTTGCCAGCGCAATTAGTTAACCTCTTTGCCACGTCGACAACTTGTTTGTCCCAAATTGTAACATTTTCGCAGTTTTAAGTATATTGAAATGTAACCCAGGCAAAACAAATTATAAATTTATTATTTATAATTTGTAAATTTACAATTGACAATTTATAAATTTATTTATTATTCTTAGTAATTTCTAGCCAGTGACATACCGACAAATTTAAAAAAGAAAACGAATTCGTACGGTTTGGTCACTCGTTATGGTCCGCAATCAGTTGCCAGCGCAATTAGTTAACCACTTTGTCACGTCGAGGATTTTTTTGTCCCAAATTGCAACATTTTCGCAGTTTTAAGTATATTGAAATATAACCCAGGTAAAACAAATTATAAATTTATTATTTATAATTTGTAAATTTACAATTAACAATTTATAAATTTATTTATTATTCTTAGTAATTTCTAGCCAGTGACATATCGACAAATTCAAAAAAGAAAACGAATTCGTACGGTTTGGTCACTCGTTATGGTCCGCAATCAGTTGCCAGCGCAATTAGTTAACCTCTTTGCCACGTCGAGGACTTTTTTGTCCCAAATTGTGACATTTTCGCAGTTTTAAGTATATTGAAATATAACCCAGGCAAAACAAATGACAAGTTTATTACTTCTTAATGACTTCTGTCCAGTTGATATCGCACCGACAAGTTCAAAAGAAAACTCGTCGCATCGGTCACTCGTTATGGTATCCGCGAACCAGCGTTAGGAATTAAACGTGATTAAACACGATTAAAACACGGCCCAATTTCGAATGTTTACCACTAGAACTATCGACGACTGAATTTTCATTGAAGTCGAAACGTTATAATAGAATATACATGCTTCAATTCACATCGCGTGATTCTCATTTAAATCTCTAAGAACACGCTGTTTTACATCTATGAAGTTTCTGATAAAAATTATGAATCGGCCCAATTTTGACCTTTGAACTTTTACCAGTTTTGGTTTATCTCGTGAAGTTTCTATTCTGTTCTCTTTGAAGTTGTTTCAAAGATTTATTTTCCTTTTATTAGTGAATGTTATATATACAGTATTTTATTGTGTAATACTATTGTATATAGTATATTGTAATAATATATTATTATTAATATTTTATTGTGTAATACTATTGTATATTGTAATATTATATATAGCAATAATATTGTATATAGTATATTGTAATAATATATTATATATATATATTGTATATTGTAATATATTATTATTAATATTTTATTGTACATATAACATCATGTATAATTATATACGATCCACTCTGATTTATTACCTTCGTCCGTCTCTCCAAAAGCTTCTCAACACTAAAACCAAATTGACCAAAATGATCGATTCGTAATTTTTGACAGACAAAAAACAGCGTTAAACGTTTTTAAAAATTTAGATAATTTTTTTTTTTTTTTTTTGTTCATTTCTCTATTTTTTTTCAACTTTTTTGATTTCAACGTCTCTGACAGAAATTTTCTGCCCCTAAAGGGAGTAGTTGCAGTGTTAAATACGAATTGGCGAAAAAATTGAACAAGTGGGCGTAAATACGTGTTGGTCTAGGCTGAGTGGATAATCTACGATGCCTTAACGACATTGTTAAATCAACGAAAAACGAACGTGAAGGGATCATCGAGCTTGCTCTGTTATTAAGAAATCTCGATCCGCGTAATTATTACCTCGAAATTATTGCCGATAAGCGCGAGGCGCCCACCATACATAAATTACGGCCAGAATTACCTCCACTCGTTTCTAACAGCCCCGTCTAACAGCCCACGCGTTCGCCGCCAGCCAAGAAGAAAAAGCTTGGCGTACTTCGTCTGAAATTTTCTAATTGACCTAACTTTTGAATGCATTGGATTCGTCGAACCAAAAATATTAAATAAATATAAAATAAAATATTAAAATATTATATAATTATAAGATAAAATAATTACAATATATAATTATAATATAATTATAATAATTGTAAGATATAATTATAAGATAACATATTAAAATATTATATAATTATAAGATAAAATATTTAAATATTATATAATAATAATCA